GATCCACATGTCAACCTTGTATGACCACTTTCCTTGCATCGACTACATGTCGATATCCTCTTCTCTTCACCCTTAGACGGTATACGATCGTGATTTTTTGGTCGGCCAGGTAGCCTTCTGTCCATGACTGGTAGCAAAACTGTTTGTAAATCATCTGGTATGTCCCACTCATAAGGATGTGGAATAGTGTAGACAATCTCGACATAAGTCTGTCGATATACTTCTGTAGTGTAGCAATCCATAGCGTATGCGCTTGAATCATCTTGGTTTAGATGAAGAGCATCTTTTATAACATGGCCACACGGATAACCAGATGTTTGTCATTTCATACAACTACACGTCTTTGCATTTAGATCGACAAGCCCATTTAAGTTATTATCCAATACTTCAAACAAAGTGTTTGAACATGGTTTAACTCTCAATGACGTTGACTTCACAACACGTTTCGTTATCTTTTTTTCAGTCTATGGTGTAACACAATGTTCCAATGTTCCTGTAAATTTAAATAAATAATACTTAGTAAAATCTATTAAATATGATAAGTTACGAATTTAAAGAAATAATAACTGCATGGTTTCTTTTCTTGTAGTACCACTGTTGAATAGAGGCTCGAAAAAACTCCATTAACATAGTAATAGGTAATTTTTTGGTATGACGACTTAGAGCGTTAATTGATTCTGCACTATTAGACGTCATTAAACCATATCTTGCTCCAAGTTGATGTACTCTTGACCATCTTTCAAACCTGACATCTTCTAGTGTTTGAGCACATTGAGGCAAAACACATCTTAAACAATTTATATGCTTATTAAAATCTACTTCCTAATAAGCTTTTACAACCTTCCAGTATGTCTATTTGTGATTTTTTTATACCAGCAGGCCTTGATTTAGATTTCTGTACAAATGAACACCAAAAAGTCCATGAAAAGCATCTGGGAAACACCTTCTAATAACGTTGTCAATTGAGTTTGCCCTATCAGATATGATTGTCAGATTGCTAATAGGACCTATGCAATCCCTAAGATGCCCCATAAACCATGTCCATGAATCAGAGGTTTCAGATTTACCAACCCCGTAAGCTATTGGTAGTATCCCATTATTAGCATACATGGCTACTACTAATAAGTTTACTCCAAGGTATCGACCTTTCAAATGTGCTCCGTCAACTATAATAACTGGACACATGTAAGTAATAAACGAATGAATCTACAAAATAATATACACAAGAAATATAATCATTTAAATGTGAAATGCATGTAACTAATAAAAATGAGTCAACAAAATTATATTGATTTACAAACCACAACACCAATGGCGATAAACAACAACTCAAAACGTCCATCTCTATATGTTTTGATATAAGTTACCGACCCAGGATTTTTCAGCTTTAAATTATGACAATAAACTGGAAGTTGGGCAAACGATGTTTCTGGCGACCCCCTCAACATTTCCAAGGCATAACATTTGGCTCTCCAAGCTTGAGAATATGAGATACTAATTTTGAACCGAGCATTAATGTCAGTCATAATTTCATGTCCCCGATATACCCTGCCATTCAAAAACATTAACTCAACTAGAAAACCACCCAACACCTTTTTGTTTGCCTGTCTATGGTGAGGAAAAACTTGGGTTCTTGAATATGTATGTTTATCAATAAAAGTCCTAACTTGAAACATTTCACAATCTTTTATCCTCTTTACAATCATACGCCACGTATAGTTTTTGTCAATCATACACTTTGTTTCGAAACGATCTTTGCTTGATTTGTTAACTTTTAGTTGATAGCCATCTTCCAAACATTTCATATACAAAGCTATCTTCAAGTCTTCCTTTGTATCAAAACAAACATTTTTCTTGATACGAATAACTTTTGTGTAACAATCAACTGCTATCTTTACAAACTCTTCTTCCGGTATCTGAAATAATTATGGCATATTCCAGTTATACTCCCGTGGCATTTTCTTCTTTTTCTTTTCTTCGGGGACTTCTTCTTCTTTTTCTTCTTCTTCTTCTTCAAGGTTATATGAATTACAGAATGAATGTTCAACATGTTCATTCACAGTCGTAACTTCCTCCTCATTATCATCAACAACATCTTCCTCGGCAGCGGCTGTTTCATCATCAAAATTCGGGAATTGACCAATATCAAAATCATTACACACAGGGTCTATTTTTTCTTCTGAAACATCATCAAAATCTGAGTATTGAACAAGATCAAAGTTCGGGGATTGACCAAGATCAAATTTTGAATACTGACTAGTACTCACAATTTTTTCTGTTGGCTCATCATCGTCTAACTGGTTAATACGAAAACCATAATTTGGTGCTAAAAGTTGATTGGGATTTGGATTAGGGAAAGGTTGTGGGTTTTGAATTGTGTTTGATATTGTGTTTGGTATTGAAAATGTGGTGAAACAAAATTTTCTTGGTGATGAAATTGTGGTGGAACCATTAGATTTTGAGGTTGATAACAACATTGTACATTGTGAGCACCATAAACTGGGGTTGAAGCACTTAGTTGATTACTACCCGCTACTGACCCAACTTCACTACTTCTAGGTTCAACAACATACAATGTAACATCATCTTGCGAAACACTAATGTAAGCAATGAATCGTTCAACATCTTCATTGTCGGTTAACAAATAAACTTTACATTTTCTTTGATAAGATAGCCTAAATCCACTTAGAGGCTCTAAATTCAATTTCTTTGCAACACGTAACATTAGAGTTTCATAAGTTAACTTTTTTAATGACAGTTTTAGTTGAAGATTCATGGGTAAAGGTATATATTGTAAAACACCATTAACATTCTCTCATGACCCTCCAAAACACAAATCTATCCAAACATGATCAAGATTAGATGATTTCATTCTACAAATTGTAAATTAATTTACTAAACAAACGAGCTATAAACTAGATATCATCACTAACTTAGAGAAAAACATACATTTATTAAGTTGATAGTTTATAATTTGGGAGAGAAATCATTGAAAAATTATATAGAAATAAAATTATGTAAAAAAAATTAGAGATGGGGAAGGATGTCGTTAGATATAGGAATGGATATCGTCGGAGAGATTGAGAGATGGAGATGGAATGAGTTACGATTTAGGGATTTAGGTTATGAGTTGTTGCTGCTGTATAGTTTATATACCCAAAATATTTGTGTTGCGAAAATAAAAGCTGTTGCGAAATTAAAATTCGTGTTGCGAAAACAAAATTCATGTTGCGAATTAGAAAATCTTGTTGCGAAAAGGAAACTTGTGTTGCGAAAAAGAAATTCGCGTTGCGAATTCAGAAATCGAGTTGCGAATTTGGAAAATCGCGTTGCGAAAAAGAAATTCGCGTTGCGATTGCAGAAACTGAGTTGCGAATTTGAAAAATTCGCGTTGCGATGTGTTGCGAAATTGGAGTTCGCGTTGTGAATTTGTTGATTATTTTCGTAAATCCAAAAAAAAATTGGTTAAAATCGTATATTATAAGATATTTTCGATCACTGTAGTTATTTTCTCTAAAAAAAAAAAAATTGGTAAAGACCCCACCAGGGAGTTCGGTCAGTCCCGGTGTTTAGATATTTTATATTTTTCTAAATAAGTTTATTTATAAAACCTATCTATTTTTCTAATATTTATTAAAATATAAATTTTAATATTTAAAAATGAAAGTGTAGGGTTTACCCTTTTGGAAAGTTCAAAGATGAAGTACGTGGCCAATGAAAATTCACTCAAAGTTTGAGAATCAATTCAAGTAAATGAAATTATTACAAAAAGCTCCTATTTCCGTGGGCCTCTGTCACTCTTTCGCTTTTCCCTACACCTATCACATCTCCTCCACATGCATCTTGGCTGTACTATAGTCATCTTTCGTTTAACTCACCATTTGCTCCTCGATTATACTCAAGTTTTTATTTCCATACCTAAATACTCTAGCTTTTTTTGTATGTGACCCAATTTCCAATAATCATTTCAATTATATTGAAAATTGACTCAAATCAAATTAAAATAAATCTCTCCTATTATTATTTTTAGGATAAATTATATAAATGGTCTCCGATTATAAAGTATTACTTTATTGAGTCTCTCAACCGTTAAAAGTTACAAAATGATCTTTCAACTACAATGAGTTTGATCTATCAAAATAATCTTAATTATTCATATGTTCTATGTTAAAAAATTGATAACAATTTGAGCTGGACGTTAACTAGTTGACTGTGATATAATATTCATTTAAGATTTTGATATCATATTTTATCATATCTCAGCAAATTAATGTTTAGCTCAGACTACCGTCAATTTTTTAAAATAAAAGGAAGAGTTTATGACATATGAATAGCTGAGTGATCATTTTGTAACTTGTAATAGTCAAGGGACTCAACAATACAATATCCTTAGTCAAAAGAATATTTCATAACTTTTAACAGGAGAAAGACTAGACAAACTAATGTCCAATAGGCAAATAAATGTTTCGTAATTTTTAATAGTCGAACGACTCAATAAAACAATATCATATAGTCGATGGATTATTTGTGTACTTTATTTTTTCCAGTGGTTAAGGGACTTATTGTTTTCCGTCCCGGAATCGAGCACCGCAAATATTAGGGATATGAGTGTTTATTGTCAAAATATTAAAATTTTTTGAACATATATTACTTTGTATTTATCCCAGATTTATAACAAAAATTAATACTGATATTTAAAAAAAACCTAACTAATAAAAACTTGATACGAGACGGCTACTTTCATTCATTACAAAAAATAAAACACATTATTATCAAGATTTTGTTAAAACGTCCGAACCTTTTGGAATAATGGAATTAAAGCTTATCCAAAAAGATATATAACTTGGAGGATAAATCGAGAATTAAACATTTTTATTTATACATTATTTAAATTATTTATTAAATTCCCATTTTTGTTTCTTCTCCGCCTGGTAATAACACCTAATTTACCGAGTTTTATATGGGGTTGGATATTTCTTTCTTTATAAAGCCACAGGCTCTGGCCTTTCTTCTCTCCCACACATTGAAAATCCTTTTTCTCCCTTTTTCTTTTTCTTTTCAGAAAACATGGGTTCTCAAAGATCGACTATGGCGATGCTTTTGCTGATGATGTTCACTTTATCATCGGCTTCAGACATGTCCATCATCTCCTACGACAAAACTCATCCCGACAAGTCAGAGTCCAGTTGGAGAACAGACGGTGAAGTCATGGCCATGTACGAGGAGTGGCTCGTAAAGCATGGCAAAACATACAACGGGTTGGGAGAGAAAGAGAAGAGGTTCCAGATTTTCAAGGATAATCTCAGGTTCATCGACCAACACAACGCCGATGAGAGCCACGGTTTTAAGGTCGGTTTGAACCGGTTCGCCGATCTCACCAACGAGGAGTACAGAGCCACGTACTTGGGAGTGAAGAAACCTGAAAGGAAGCTTTCGAAGGCGAGTGACCGGTACAAGCCGGTTGTCGGTGAAGAGTTGCCGGATTCCGTTGATTGGAGAGAGAAAGGAGCTGTTGCTGAAGTCAAAGATCAAGGGAGTTGCGGTAAGTTTTTTTTTTAACCCTCTATTAATTACCGTCTTATGATCTTTAAATTCTTAGTACGTGTGTTTGGTTTTCATGGATATTGAGCCTGTGTGTCGGTACTTGACTTGTCTTCTTACGGTGGGGTAAGGAGTAAGGTGTCTTACACGAAGGTTCATGCCTTATTGAATCATGGGAGATTTATTATCCACTGCAAGTTTGTATTATAAAATATACAAATATTATTTCTTTTTAGGGGTTTTAAAAAAATTCGTTAACCAATAATTGTTTGACAGGTAGTATTTATTTTTAAGTAATATTATTTTCTGAAAGTAAAAATATTAAATCTATTTCTTAAAAATAGATTTTAATGATTTTAAGATTTAGCCATTTAGAAGATTTTAAGATTTCATGCTCTTTCATAAATTATTTTTTTAATAATAAATAAAATTAAAAAGAATTTGAAAAAAATATGCTACGTGTAGAATCGAGTGGTAATATGTATTTTTTAACAGATGTTATGGGCTTGACACATTAAATTGTAATTTTAAAAAAGTCAGACATATTTTTATAAAAAAAAAAAAGTTTAGACACCTTAAATTAATAAAGGTATAATTTGAATATTTCTTTAATTAAACGATTTTTTATAATATTAGTTTTACTGACCATTCAATGTTAAATACAGGGAGTTGCTGGGCCTTTTCAACCATTGCTGCAGTTGAAGGCATAAACAAGCTTGTTACAGGTGAACTCATTTCACTATCGGAGCAGGAGTTGGTAGATTGTGATACATCCTACAATGAAGGTTGCAATGGTGGTCTCATGGATTATGCCTTCGAATTCATCATAAAAAACGGTGGCATCGACACCGAAGAAGATTACCCTTACACTGGTCGTGACGGTAGATGCGACTCTTATAGGGTAGGTTTTATATCTTTCGAGTCGAATAGATCGAATTTCATTACCCTTGTACTGACCCTTGGTGTTTTAAATCACCCCGCAGAAAAAGGCAAATGTTGTTACAATCGACGATTACGAGGATGTTCCACCAAATAACGAGAAAGCTTTGCAAAAGGCCGCTTCGAATCAACCGATTAGTGTTGCCATTGAAGGAGGAGGCAGGAGTTTCCAGTTATATGATTCGGTAAGATTCTGCATCCATCAAAATTACTAGTTTCTGAATGACCTTAAGCCTGAACACAGTTCGATAAATGTCTGATCTTTATAAAGCTTGAATCTGATATTTGTTCATCGTATGTTTGTGGTCTTGTTACAGGGTGTGTTTGATGGAAGATGTGGAACACAACTAGACCATGGTGTGACTGTTGTTGGATATGGCACAGAGAGCGGTAAAGACTATTGGATCGTAAAGAACTCGTGGGGAAGCAGCTGGGGAGAGGCAGGCTACATCAGGATGGCGAGAAACGTGGCCAACTCCGTAACCGGAATATGTGGAATCGCTATGGAACCGTCTTATCCGATCAAAACAAGCGAAAATCCCCCGAATCCTGGTCCCTCTCCGCCATCCCCCATACAGCCTCCTACCGTCTGCGACAACTATTATAGCTGCCCCGAGCTGACTACTTGCTGCTGCATCTATGAGTATTATAACTACTGCTTCGCTTGGGGATGCTGCCCACTCGAGGGTGCCACTTGTTGTGATGACCACTACAGCTGCTGCCCTCACGACTACCCCGTCTGCAACGTCGATCAAGGCACATGCTTGTTGGTACGCTCGTATTCAAACCGATCGATCCTTTCGTTCTACTTATGTTGAAGTTACTAACTCTTATCGAATTTGTTTCGCAGAGCAAGGGCAACCCGTTGGGAGTGAAGGCACTGAAGCGCACCCCGGCCAAGCCATTCTGGGCACTTGGAAATTTAGGCAGAAAGAACATTGCTTGAGTTGAAGGCTGGCATTGTAATGCCGTGGCTGATGGGGCTAAAAGGGAGGAAAATGAAGGAAGCTCGACAATCTCTCTGCTTTATAAAAGTTACTTAGATGGCTGATTATGTATATAATAATTTGGTATTCATCCGTGGTGTACTTGGGGAGGAGATAGAATATTTGTGTATATCATGTCTTCATATAACCAATGGATTCTACAAGTTGGTTAATATATCATGCTCTTAAAGTTGCTTCATTTATGTATTTGACTTTAAAATTAATGTTTTCTCTCTGCTTTAAAACAACATTGTGTTTTTGGAAGTCATAAATTTATCCTTCAGTTCTCACTATTTTCGTTGCTTCATATTATGTCTTTTGAAAGAAAATTATAATATTATATCGGATCGAATTAGATAAATTTTTTTATTCTAATTTCGAATTCAACCCAAATCGAAACTAGTCAGGTTAGATCAAATGTTCATCCCTGTTATATATCCAATTCATATGGATTGAGCAAATGGGCAAGTCATGGATGGAGACCCAAACCAACTAAATTCAAAGAAGGAAGCAGCAAGCCAACCAAAGTTTGGAATTATGTGGCGGTAGGCACGCCTACCATACCAATATCACATAAGACCTGTACTATGTGGACAATGCTCGCCCTCTTCCTAACAGTACAATCTAATATAACCTACTAGAATAAATTAAGATCAACCCTCTCTTCAAATGGAATGAAATTAGGACCAAAACTTGATGCTTCGTTACCATTGAACTAACCTAACCATATTAGACGAAATTAGAGCATACCAACAATACACATACTTGAAAATATAATAATATTCGTGTTTTCAATCATGTTATATTTATCGTGATTATATATATATATATATATATAATTATAACTATTGGTGTGTTCTATTTTCAAATTATCACATTCTTTCTGCAAACCTTTTTTTTTTGAATTTTCTTATCAACATGATAAAGAAGATTGTCACGAAAAATATAAAGAAGTTAAAAGAAAAAAGTAGAGACGAACCGATTGTTATAGTGAACGATGGTCCCTTTGCATGCAAAATTGATAGGAGTGAGGCAAAAAAATTATTACTGAGTCGTGATTTATTGTTAGGGAACTTCGAATTTGAATTTAATATCCCTGAAAGCAACTATTAACAATCAATTTTTTTAAATAATATCATTTTTGGTAAACCTTCTATCAAACTTTTCTTCTAATAAAAAAGGTTTAAATATACAAAGGTGCCCAACCTATGCCCCTTTTTCAGTTTAGTGTCTAACGTTTATTTCTTTCCAGTTTGATATCTAACATTTCATTTTGTTACTCATTTAGGTGCTCAAGCCGCCAACGGTGTTAATTTCTCTATTAACTGACACGTGTTACAATCTGGTAATTTTAAAAAAATTATTTAAAAATAAAAAATTAAAATTATATATATATTTATGTTTAAAAAGAAAACACAAATTTTGACGGTTAAACCTTTTACGGTTTGCTAACGTGACATGATAAATATATAAAATTATAATTAAATCGTTTTCACGTAGATAATACGTGAATTAAGTTTTGGTCACTTGGACGTTGAATCTCATTAGTTTGATGACGCGACCCATTAGTATAATGATTTAATTTTTATTTTAACCCTTACACTTTAGATAAAATATTGATTATGAGTCTTTTGTAAATTCAAATTAGTTTAGGGACACCATTTCAATTATTTTTAGTAGGTTTTCTTCTCAACCCCATTATTGTTCATCTTCCTCTGCTTCTTCTTCAGACATCTCTACTCCATTGCTCCATTTGTCTTCTTTCAAGGACTCATGCTACATTTCAAAAATAATGAAAAATTTTCAACTTCTGATAACAAATAATAACACCACAAGTTCAGAGAAAAAGGAGAGGGTAGACATCTAGATATAAAATGAAAATGGATAATCTTTGTTATACAAATAAAAATTCAATTTTGAAAGATTGAGATTGTAGAATGTAATAAGGAACAAGAAGACCAATCAATTGATCCAAATAACTTGATAATTGGATATCACTCTTCGTGGTGATTTTTCTTGAGAAAACACCTCCAGTAAAACATAATCGATGGATTCAAACAACTCGATAACTTGATTTGTGAATTCACCCATTGAACTCAATACAAAATCCTTATATATGTCAGGGCTAAGTTATGATAAAATCATTTTGTTAATATGTCATCACTATTATGAGTATTTATATATTAGTGTTGTTAGTGTTTATCATTTATCACATACTGTTGTATGTCTATTGTTTTTCTAAGTTAGTTAATTTACTTTTAACCCTCTCCTTTTATTGACTTTTTTTTTTAAATTCTTTTGTGGTTGATTTGTGTACTTTTGTGGTTGATTTGCGTAAATGATTATTTAATGTGATTAGTCTACACTAATTTTTATAGATTCTTCTGATAGTTTTATTACAATTCATCTATTTAATATAAATAAAAGCTATTATTAATTAAAAATATCAAATTAAATATTTATATAATAAAATTTATTTTCACAATAGTGAATTTGTTTCTAACCTAAACTCATTCACAATATTCTAGAGAAATGGTTAATTTGGTGCACGTTCATGATGTATATGGGCTTCAAGTCTCACCCAAGATACTTGACAAATGTGGATAAACAGATTTACATTCCTGATGCATATGTGACATATGTCTCATTTGAAGGACCAATGTTAATAGACTAAAGAGTATAAGTCCTGTGCTACGGTTAACCCAAACTATATCATGATGTATGCTTATATGTTGTAGAAAGGTGTTTCGACTATATGATATTGGACCTTATCCTTGATGCTGTACTGTGATTGTGGTTATACAAAGCATTGAAAACATTGCTTTTATGACTATAGTTACTGATATGCTTATAGTATGAATGCATGCAATATAATATAATTATTTCTGTGACATTGAGCATATAAGTATAACGTTCAAAATAAATTTTCATTCGTAAGTATTTAGGTATAGATCGAGGAGTACCATCATCTATGAGAGATTCATCATTGATTTAACATAGTACATCTTGATTTATTACAGCGGACATATATATCGTGGATCTTATTTATAATTTAGTCATAACTATATCCTATAAATTTATTTTAATAACACAATTTCATTATTTGATTTAATAAAATTATACTTATAACTTTTTTTTAGTAAATTTTAAATCTAATTTTAATCATGCTTAGAGCGAAGGAAAGAGGAAGCTTTAGGAGAATGAAGAGAAGTGCTCCTAATATATTTAGAATACTTAACTTAAAGAAACATAAGAGAATAAAGATAAACATAGTCAACCGATAAAAATGTTTATTTTACTTGTAACATTTTTAAACCCATATCTATTATATATATAGTTGACGATTACACCCAAATTTAAGCAAGGATTCTAAGATCAAAGTTACAGTATTTGAATGTCACGTGTTGGAGTAATTGTGTTAGCATGGCCCATGGCTAAGGTAAGGGTTCTAAGATTAAAGTTACAGTATTTGAATGTCACGTGTTGGAGTAATTGTGTTAGTATGGCCCATGGCTAAGGTGTTATTAACTTATATCAAACATTTAAACATATTTTCGCGTAGGCTTATTGTAATAATGGCTATGGAAACATAGTTTAAATGAGCGCAGGCGCCAATTGGAACCCACGAAGCCAAGAAAACAAGCCCTTTCGGTTTACTGTACACTTACCCCCCAATCCTCTCTTCCAAAGAGAGATGGATAAAGCTCCGTCCTTTGCCCACTCCTTAATCTTCTTCTTCACTGTTGTTCTATAAATGAAACCATCATCTTAAAAAAGGGTGTTCTTTCTGTGGATGAAAATGGCTTTCAATTCTTCAGTTCTTTTCGATTCTCTTTATTGTTCGGAAGAGAACTGGGGGCAAGACGAAGAGGCGAAAGAAGATTTCTTGGTTGAAGCAGACGATGAACTTTCTGGGAACCCTTTTCCGGTCTTGTTTGAACATGACTTTTTCTGGGAAGACGATGAACTTTCCTCGTTACTCTTAAAGGAAGAGCGGAATCAACTGTTTGACACCCTTCAAACCAATGGGAATCTCGCCGGACCTCGCTTTGACGCCGTTGAATGGATGTTGAAAGTCAACGCTCACTATTCCTTCTCCGCTCTCACAGCCGTTCTCGCCGTTAATTACTTCGATAGATTATTGTTTAGCTTCCGGTTCCAAAGCGACAAGCCATGGATGACTCAACTAGCCGCTGTTGCTTGTCTTTCTCTGGCGGCCAAAGTGGAAGAAACCCAAGTGCCTCTCCTACTGGACTTACAGGTTTGTTTGGTTCTTTGTTACCTAAGTTTGATGCTTTTTTTTTTCTTTTTCATTTCGGCTTCCCAAAGTTGTGATTTTGTTGGCCTGTTTAGGTGGAGGAGAGCAAATATGTGTTCGAGGCCAAAACTATTCAAAGAATGGAGATTTTGGTACTCTCTACACTTCAATGGAAGATGAACCCTGTTACTCCAATTCCTTTTCTTGATTACATTGCAAGGAGGCTTGGGTTAAAGGGTCATTGTTGCTGGAAATTTCTTCGGAGATGTGACCAAATTTTGCTCTCTGTCATTTCAGGTTAGCACCATAAACAACCCCTTTTTTTCTTTTACCAGGTAATGGATTTGATCTTAAATTGTGTTGAATTCATTGGCAGATTCAAGGTTTTTGTGCTTCCTCCCTTCTGTAATGGCCATTGCTGTAATGCTTCAAGTCATGGATATTGAACTAGAATTCCAAAACCAGCTTTTGGGCAACCTGGGAATTGATAAGGTACTACCACTTTTAAATGGTGCAAATTTTGTCCTGGGATTTAAAATCTCAATGTTTCAAACAGGACAAAGTGGATGAATCCTGTAAGTTGATAATGGAATTGGCAAGAACAAGAGTTGAAGGCAACCGATCAAACAAGCGCAGGTTCAGCTCGATTCCGGGTAGCCCAATTGGTGTGATGGATTTTTGCTTTAATTCCGATAGATCGTACGATTCGTGGGCAGTTTCATCGTCTTCATCACCTGAGCTTGTCTCCAAGAAGATTAAGACTCGACAAGAACAGTTCCTGGAAAGGCTAGACCATGCTCCGTCAGATTTTCTCGGCAATTCTCACTAATTTCAATCTTCAATTTCTCACTTTGTGATAATATTTCTGTTCTTTTGTTTGTTTTTTTTTTCATCGAGATGCAAGTTAAATTGCTTTCCATCTCTGCTTTTTTCCAACCATAACATGATTTGAGACAAATTTCAGTTTCTGAAATTCAAATGTCTCTTTAGGTAGTGATTGGTTGGTGAGAAAATTTACAAGTAGAGATGGCTTGCATTTTATCCCGAATAAATTTACCAAAAAAAATGACTATAGCAATTCAGACTTCAAATTCCTTCTATGACTGCTTTATCCTTATAATCAGACTATAATGGAAGTTCAGAAATTAAAGTAAAATTTAAAAAAAATTAAATTGTCACATTTTTACTATTGGGTAAAATTGTAAATAGCCTCTCAAATGTTATTATTTTGTTGAGTCATTTAACTATTAAAAGTTATTAAATTATCCTATAATTATAGAGTTTTTTTTTAGTTTTTATTATTATTAAAAGTTATAAAATGATTATCTAACTTTTCATATGTTTCAAATTCATCATTTTTTTTATTAAAAAATGGACGACAATCTGAGTTAGACGTAAAATTGCTTAATATGATGTGATAAAATTTGATCTTAAAATCTCAAACGATTATCATATCTCAATCAAAAGTTAACGTTCAATACAAAGTGTCATTAATTTTTTTTAATAAAATGTACCAATTTGAAACATATGAATAGTTGAGTGATCATTTTGTAACTTTTGATGTTAAAGAATTCAACAAAACAACGCCTTATAATCGGAGGGCTATTTTATAACTTTTTTTTGAATTAATCACTGGTATATGATCTATTGACCGACTAATCCAAATCGGGTACTGCAGAGGCGAGGAAGACCCTCTCAACCCAGATTTTGTTACACAATCCGAGAAAAAATAAAATAAAAAAAATCAAAATTTTTTAATAAAGTAGAAGAAACAAATTAAAGTAAAGAACCCAAATAATAATAGGATATTGAACTTGAATTAGGTTGAGGCCTGCATCAACGCAGTTTCCTTAAGACATATTTACGGTCTCTCCATGGTGCTCGAGATATTTTAGTCGTATGTCTCTCAAGATACAACAACGATATGATCAATGCACAATATTACAACTTATGAGATCACGAACCAAATTTTTCTAGAGACTATCACCTAAAACAAGATAGGAAGAAGAGAGTTTGTGGACCGTGTTTAACCTAATAGGTTAGCACGGTATTTATAGTGTTTCACAAAGAAGACAAATTGAAAACAATATATTCGCGCTATTAATTAATATCTGAATAAAATAAAAAATAATAAAACCATATTTAATATTTAAAGTAAAAGGAAATCGTATAATATTCCTTTTAATTTAGAATATTAAAAAAAACTTCACTTAAGAAAAATATTTAATTCGTAGTGAGTAAAATATTCATAGGCCCTCAAAGGGCCTGATTGATCCGGACATTTGCACCCCCGACATCTACACGCAAGACAAAATTTTAACATAAGTCATTTAATGATTAGCAAGTGCGTTTGTACATATAAATCATTTCCTTGTTTAACATCCCATTAATGTGGGATATGAGTTTTCTCATTTTCCATACACAACAAAATTCACATGTATTTTATTTTGAGCATTAATTTCTTATTCATATTTAATTAATTATTCAATTATTCATCTTTACACTTAGAAAATATGCCTCAAAGTATTCAATTTATCACATTTTTCCTAATAGTTTACTCTATTCGTAAATTTTAGAGTTCGAATTTTTGACTTTACTTAAGGATTTTAATGTCTATTTTATAACTTCTAATAATTTATTAAAGGGAGAATATTAAGGTATAACCAATGGAAAAAAAACTATGATTTTAGAATCAACGCGCTTACACCCTAAGCCTACTGCATATCTGCCACTGGTTAGGTTCCAAATTCCAATAGAAACTTACAAGGCAAACCACCGGCGATAAAAATACACTTTATAATAAGAAAACTTTGTATTTTAAGCTTTACTATTCTAGATGTCCCGATGATTGAAATACATACGGATACGGTAGTGTGCATTTACATGTATATTATACTTTCGTACGTACTTGTCTGCATGCCATTGAAGTACCATTTTGTCTTGTCGGCCACTGCCAGATTTCGTGACTAATTTTGGGGGGTTTTGAGCTCATCGGAACAGCTCATCTTTACTTTGATTTTTCTCACAGTTACACAACAGTACAAACCTGCTCAGTGACGAAACTAGGGGCTGGTAAAGGCCTTGGTCCCCAGAATAGTATAATTGTTCTTAGATCCTTGTAAAATCCATAAATTTGTAAATTAATATATGATGAACAGTGTGAATGCCTCTTGGTGGGAGCTTGGGGATCTCAACTGTCACACCAAAAGCACAACTTTTCAATATTTCGACTCCCTAATTTGAATGCAAACTCGATGAGAGCTACCTTCTTTTGACAGTGAAATGCATCCCAGAAGATTAAACTGTAATTTTATATTTCTTTTACCCCATTATTTTAAGATTTTACCCACCCAACGCCTGGGTTATATGGTTCAAAGTTTAGAAAAAGACAGCAGCAACATGTGTTACTGCTTTCTTTCTAGCACTTTAAACTAAAGTTAGAGAATCAGAAATTCGACTTTATTCTCAAACTTATTATTTTACAATATTCATACCTCTCTAGATTTGCTTAATCTGCTGAAACTCACTTATATTATTGCACCTCCAAGGTAAGATTATGGTAGGTCATGACTTTCTTCAAAATAGGAATTTTTTTTAACTAAATAATGAGATTTTCAAGTTAAAATAGATGTTATTTTGTAAGTTGAGTTTGAAAACACAGTAAAAATAGGGAGTGGGGGACAATTTGAAACTCATCTTTTGTTCTTTTCTTTTGGTAGTTAGCTGTGTAGGTTTTAGATTCAATTTCAAGGGCTTTGTGGGGGGGGGGGGAGGGGGGAAGGAAGACAATAATATAATATATTTCTTATTGATCACCAGAAAGAAGAAGATTAGTGCTACTGATCATCTGGATTCTCAAAGCTCAATGCATCCTTTTTTACTTATTGAGCATTAACGAGTTTCCTTTTTGGCAGAAAAATGATGTACTTCTAAATAAACAAGTCCTTTTGATCCATATATGTTAAAGATTCAAACTTAAATTCATTAAATATTACTTTTAAGAATGTTTTCCTGAATGCACCGGTGTAAAATGAAACCTAATTATTTTGACCCTCTAATGCAAAATGGGGGGGGAGAGGACCTAAAAAAACAGTAATGTAGCCAAAAGATAAGAAATGGTCACATTAAGCACACTGGCACCAGAACTTAGAGCCAAATCATTAATCATGCTGTAGTCAGCGTTCTAATCAAACAAATTTAATCAGTAACGAGGCAATGACTGAAACTCAGAGAAAATATGGGGGGACCCTGAGGTGGGAAATGGCAGAGGGGTACGTAGCCCCACAGGAGAAGAGATATAAATTCAAATCAGCTTAAGATTTGAATGAGAGTTGGGGAATGGAACACTCTTTGATTTTATCAGTACACATTCCATGCGTGACTGTTATAATTGTGGGGTATTAAGCACAGGTTATGGAATTTTTCGAAGCTGTAATGGCAGTGCAAAGAATACTGAAACAAAGATGATAATGGCAATGGGGCTCACCTACAGCAAGAGTATCCGATTGGGTTGTAGGGATGTCTCTGGGTTTTGGGGGTCACCATCCTCAGGTAATGCCAAACTTATTAGCCTCTGATGACTACGAGTACCAATGCATTTATGGTCTTTCTGTGTATATTATTTAACCCATCTGCTGCTGCTGCTGCTTGGAGGGGACAATATCAAATATAGGGCGAGACAAATCTATATTATTTCAGGCCAAACCATTAGGCCACCCCCCGGGGTACATATGGTCCATTTGCGATAATCATTTCCATCTGTAATGCTCCAAAATTCACCCACGAGATGTTTTCTACGTTCTCTTCTCTAGTATGAAAGATCAAATTTTACATAATGTCAAATTTATCGAAAATATACGATCGATTGTTTAATGAACGATTCTTCAAATATTATTCGAATATTTGACATATGTGAACCTAAGTTAACCACTACACTCATGTTTAAGCTAGAACTGAATCAATCAGCATGTTAGGCAATGAGGAAATGATCCAATGAGAAGCCAATGTGGGGTGAGACTATTAGGTGGTGTTTGTTTTTGCAGAGGTAAAAGGTCTGCAGTCTGCGAACCACATCTGCAGGCATCTGCAGCAGAAGAGGTGGACCAAAAGTCTGCAGTCTGCAAGAAGAAGACTATTTGTTTTTTAACGTCTGCAGACTGCTAAAATGAACTGAAATATAAATAAATTGATTTTTTTAAACTTAAAAGAGTTTTGCAATACTTAGATTTAAATAATTTTAGTTTTACAATATTGAAATTTAAATAATCCATACAACTACAATAATAAATTATTTAAAATAAATCAATCCATATTTTAAAATAAATTAATCCATACTAATAAATTATTTAAAATAAATCAATCCATACAACTACAATAATAAATCAATCTATATTTTAAAATAAATCAATCCATACTAATAAATTATTTAAAATAAATCAATCCATAATAATAAATTATTTAAAATAAATCAATCCATAATTTAAAATAAATCAATTCATACTAATAAATTATTTAAAATAAATCAATTCATACAACTACAATAATAAATTAATCCATATTTTAAAATAAATCAATCCATACAAATAAATTATTTAAAATAAATCAATCCATACTAATAAATTATTTAAAATAAATCAATTCATACTAATAAATTATTTAAAATAAATCAATCCATATTTTAAAATAAATCAATTCATACTAATAAATTATTTAAAATAAATCAATCCATATTTTAAAATAAATAAATCCATACTAATAAATTATTTAAAATAAATCAATCCATACTAATAAATTATTTAAAATAAATCAATCCATATTTTAAAATAAATCAATACATACTAATAAATTATTTAAAATAAATCAATCCATACAACTACAATAATAAATTAATCCATATTTTAAAATAAATCAATCCATACAAATAAATTATTTAAAATAAATCAATCCATACTAATAAATTATTTAAAATAAATCAATCCATATTTTAAAATAAATCAATTCATACTAATAAATTATTTAAAATAAATCAATCCATACAACTACAATAATAAATCAATCCATATTTTA